TGCATGTTTCTTTGCTTATTATTTCTTTCAGATGTACATTATACTGTACATTGAGATACATACAATAAAGTGAGCACATCTTTTTCTTAATGGAAAGTTTATTTTTTAAAGATTTTTTAAAATTTATTTTATTTTTAAAATATTTTATTGATTATGCCATTACAGTTCTATTTCCCCCCTTCATTCCCCTCCACCCTGCACACCCCTCCCCACCATCCCCCTTTAGTTTATGACCACGTGTCTCAAGTTCTTTAGATTCTATATTTCCCATACTATTCTTACCCTTCCCCCATCTATTTTCTATCTACCATCTATGCTACTTATTTTCTGTACCTTCTCCCCCCTTCTGCTTCTCCCACTCCCCTATTGCTAACCCTCCATGTGATCTTCATTTCTATGGGTCTGCTCCTGATCTAGCTGTCCTCTTAGTTTGCTTTTGTTTCAGGTGTGGTTGTTAATAACTGTGAGTTTGCTGTCCTGTCACTGTTCATCTTTTTTATCTTCTTTTTCTTAGATAAGTCCCTTTAACATTTCATATAATAAGGGCTTGGTGATGATGAACTCCTTCAACTTCACCTTATCTGAGAAGCACTTTATCTGTCCTTCCATTCTAAATGGAAGCTTTGCTGGATAGAGCAATCTTGGTTGTAGGTCTTTGCCTTTCATGATTTGGAATACTTCTTCCTAGCCCCTTCTTGCCTGTAAAGTCTCTTTTGAGAAATCCACTGACAGTCTGATGGGAACTCCTTTGTGGGTGACTGTCCCCTTATCTCTTGCTGCTTCTAGGATTCTCTCCTTCATTTGAATCTTGGCTAATGTAATGATGATGTGCCTTAGTGTGTTCCTTTTTGGGTCCAACTTCTTTGGAACTCTCTGAACTTCCTGAACTTCCTGGAAGTCTATTTCCTTTGCCAGAATGGGGAGGTTCTCCTTTATTATTTGTTCAAATAAGTTTTCCACTGGTGGCTGTTCCTCTTCCCCTTCTAGTACCCCTATAATTCAGATGTTGGAGCATTTAAAGATGTCCTGGAGGTTCCTTAGCCTCTCATTTTTTTGAATTCTTGTTTCTTCATATTTTTCTGTTTGGTCAATTTTTTCTTCCTTCTGGTCTGCTCCCTTGATTTGAGTCCCAGTTTCCTCTCCATCACTATTGGTTTCCTGTGCACTTCCCTTCATTTCAATTAGTTTAGACTTCATGTGTTCCTCTAATTTGTAGCTAAAATCAACTAGTTCTGTGAGCATCCTGATCACCAGTGTTTTGAACCGTGCCTCTGATAGGTTGGCAATTTCTTGTTGCTTAGATTTATGGGCTTTCGCGCTCTGAGTTCTTCTTGAGCCATGTTTTGGTCTGTTCGCACCTATTAATTATGAGAGGAGCCTTAGTTGTTCACCAGGGCGGGGCCACCCAGGTCGCTGGTTTGTGACCCTGTATGTGGGGTCAGAGAGGGAGCAATAGCGGTCCCCTCTGCTCCTTCCCGTCGCTGGGGCCTGCCCAGTCTATCTCACTGCTCACTCCTTTGCTGGTTTATCTGTGTGCAAATGTGTGACCGCGGTCAGCCAGCCACCTTGTGCCTTCGCTAGGTCCACCTGTCACTACCCCACACTGGGGATTCGCCCTTGGCTGCCTGGGTTGGGGGATCTTTTTTGCCTGACCTGCTCCGCTGCTCGCTCTGCCCCTCTTACTGGTCTAACTGAGTGGTTCATTGTTGTTGGACTCTGTATTGTTCAATTTTCTGTGGTTTGGCTGCATTTATTATTGCTAAAACTTTGTTGTTTTTAGACTTGGTTGTGTGAGAAGGCAAAGTGTTTCCACCTATGCCTCCATCTTGGTGGGAGTCTAAAGATTTTTTTTAAGACAGAGGGGAAGGGAGGAGAAGAGAAGGAGAGAAACATCAATGTGTGGTTGCCTTTCATGTGCCCCACCAGGAACCTGGCCCGTAACTTGACTGGGAATCAAACCAGCAACCCTTTGGTTCTCAGGCCAGTGTTCGAGCCACTGAGCCACACCAGCCAGGACTCAAATGAGCACATCTTAAGTGTTTAGCCCACGAATGCTTACATGTTCACATTATTTGCCCTTGTGCATAGTGCCGTTCTAGGTCCCTGGAAATGGAACCCAAGACTATAAAACACAGACTCTGTTTGCATGGATTTTATAATCTGGGATGGGTGATAAGACAATAAAAGGCAGAACAGAAAGTTTTCATTAACTTGTGTGCTTTTTGAGAACCTACCTACCTTGTGCCAGACACTGAGCTAGGCACTAGAACTGTAGCAGGAAAACAAATCCAGTCCTGCCCTCTTGGTGTTCAAAGTCTAGTCATGTTTGACAGAGTAGCACAGTGAAAGGTTATGTGTAGCTATTCCACCTCCTAAATATTTCCCACATTCATTCTCTTCTACTCCCATTGACCCTGTACTTAGTTCATGTCTCTACCTTCTTTACTCTCTGGGCTACTGTAGTAGTTTCCTGATTGATCATGTTTCCAGTCTTCTATCTCTGATTCATTCTCCAGACCTACAGCCCTTATTTTCATCTTTTAAAAAAATGAGTTAATGTTCTCCATTGCCCAGGCAATTCTGGTGTTGACCCTCACTTAAAGGGTCTATATTCCGACCACAGGTAAGTTCTTTAAATACCTCAAGCCTCATATGTGTTTTCTGTAAAATGGAGATAAAGTAATAATTATACAATAACAACACCCAACTCCCTAAAGAGGCTGAGCTCTAATCTGTCATAATAAGTATTCATATATATATATATATATGCTAAACCTCCACATACACCATCTATTTAATCCTCCCAATCATTCTCATTGCTTATTACTCTCATCTCTCTGCACTACCCAGTAATATCAAGGGTAGTGTCTCATTGCTTGAAAGCAATGGGTGTGTCCATATTTGGATTCACGGACACACCCATTGCTTTCAAGGCCCTGAGACTCTACCCTGTGAGCGCCTGTCTGGAATGCCTTCCTTCTCCCTCCTCCTAGCTGGGTCTTACTCAACCCAGGTACTTCTTCCTCTAAGGAGCTGTCCCTGGAGCTGTATATGCAGCTGTGTGCCCTAGTCTGGATTTCCACAGAATACTGGATTGAATTTGTCTATCTGCCTCCTGTTCCTCTACTTACTCAAGTGTAAGCTCCTTTCGGGCAGGCTTGAATCAAATGCTTCTGTATGGCCCCAGTTGTGGACTCGTCCTGTGCAAGGCAGGGGCTGGATGTGTCCACTGACTTGAGCAGAACATGCCAAGGATTTTCTTAAGGGAAATGGCCACTGAGTTGGCCTTGAGGCATGGGTATGACTTATAAAAATTGTTCTAAAACAAGCTGTACATTCACACAATACCAAATCCAAAGGGAACAAAAGGGCTTACAGTGAGAAGTAAAAACAGGTCACCTCTCAACCACCTAGCTCCCTCCCTAGAGGCCACCATTGGTATCAGTTTCTGAGTATGCTACACAAGCAAGAATTGTCTGTCTACCCCACCACACACACACACACACACACACACACACACACACACTTACTTGGCACAGATTTAAACCAACAGAAATTTGCAATAATAGTACAATATATACCCTTTGTTTAGATTCACAAATTAACAAGCATTAAATCATGCAATGCCCACAACCATGCAATCATGCCAATTGTGTAGATGAGGTAACTGAGGCAGCAGGCAGGTGAAGCGACTTACCCAAGGTCACAGAGTTAGTGATGGGTAGAGCTACTCTTTCTCCCTCAGGCTGCTCAAGACTTTGATCCACCTTCCCTTAGTTCCCTTTGGAGGAAAGTATCTTACCAAATTGAAATCTACCACCCTGAGACATTCACCAGATGATCGGTGGAAAAGTACACAGCTCTGGAAGCATTTGCTCATTTGCTGTTTCTCTTAGAACCTTCCCATTCCCTAAGCAACAGCTGCTGTCGCTGCCGCTGGCACATGCTTCAATGTCACCTCCTCTGTAAGGGCTGAGTGAGCTCACTCCCCCTGTTTAAAGACTTCAGTGGTTGACTCCTGGCTGCCAACAAGATGATAAGTATATGCCTGAAGTTGGAATTCAAAGCCCTGAATGATCTGGCATCAAGAAGTCTTTTAGCCTCATCAGTCCTACTCCTTCTTCCTCGACCTCTCACCATCTGTTTAAATTTCCCTACCCCCTTGAAGCGCCCTTATAGTCCCAAAGAGCGCATTTCCCCCTCTTTGTGCTCCTGAATATTCTGCCTGTGTCTCCTTTACGTTCTTCTCCAGGTCGTCTTTTGGCCAGAAGACTGCACAAGTTAATTCGGGAGTCTGAGCCTTTATTTCCCCAAGCACCTAAGTGGGTGAGAAGTCCTACTTCAGGGTCTGGCACAGAGTAAGGCCTCACTAATCTCCCACATTAGAACTGACAGCCCTTGGAGGCTAACGTCTTCTTTTAGTCATCCCTTGAAACCCTGCCTCCTATTTCTTACCTTTTCTGCTCCGCAATTTCCTCGTGTGTAAAATGCAGATGACAACGGAGAGACTGTGTAACTTTAATGGATATCGAGCACTTGAAATGCTGAGTATGATTTCTACGATGGAGGTGAGAGGGCGGGCGCATAGTAGGTGTTAAAGCAATCCGTTCCAGGCTGGGCTCGGATGTCCAGATGGGCACCGTAAGGCAATGTTGGAAGTAAGAGGTTTGTAGAGAGACTGCCGGGAGGTCGATTCTCTCCCTCAGGCTCCCGTCCCCGCCCTGCAGCTGTCAGGACCCTGCTGGCCGCGGCACCAGTCCACCAAACCTGAATGTCCGATCCTGGTGCCCCACCTTCCTCGCTGACACAAGTTACTGTAGGCCCAGCTGCCCTTTGTCCCCGCCCCTGGTTTCCATTGGCCAAGGGGTTTCTTTGTTAGCTGAAGCTCGGAGCTGCCATTGGTCGACAGGGCCACCATTCGCGTCCAGGCGCGGCCCCGCCCCGCGCGCTGCCCCTCTGGCTTCCTCCTCCCCTGCGCCCGCCCACCCGCCGGCCCCGCCCCGAGAGTGCGCGAGGCTCAGCTACCATTTGCTTCGGCCGCGGGGCGCCCGGGGCACTGGCGCTGGTACCAACTGCGGGGGCCCGCTGCGACCCAGTACCTGAGAGGCGGGCCCGAGCGCGGGGAGGCAGCGGGCCCAGAAGGCCGCGTCCATGGGCCTACAACGTCCGGGCTGTGGCTGTACAGGCGGGCGGCGGGGACCGCGCGCTCTGTGAGGGCCTGGGGTTCAGGGCCCGGCGAGGAGGTGTCCGGGCGCGCCGTGTATCGCAGCGCCGTCGTGCGAGGAGAGGCCCGGCCCGTATCTTGGCGCTAGCGAAGCCACCCTGACTGCTGGGGACGCGCTCCGGCCTGTGTCTGCGGCCCGGCAGTGAGGTGGCGGCCGGCACGGGCTTGCCGCGGCTCCCGCTCTGTGCACGGCCTCAGTCTCCCAAGCCCGCCGTGCATGGTGCCGCCGCCCCTCCAGCCTTCGTCCGCTGCGGAGCGCGCCGGACCAGGCGGTCGGGCCTCGCCGCGCCGCCGCGCCGACCATGTCGGCGGCCAAGGAGAACCCGTGCAGGAAATTCCAGGCCAACATCTTCAACAAGAGCAAGTGTCAGAACTGCTTCAAGCCTCGGGAGTCGCATCTGCTCAACGACGAGGACTTGACGCAGGTGAGCGGGCGGGGGTCCCAGGGCTCCCCCGGAGACGGAGACCGGTGCCCCACGCAGTGAGGCCGTCGTCCCCGGCGTCCCCATTGGGCTGGAAGTTACCAGGCACGTGAACGCCTCTCTGGGTGTTTCAAGGGGTCGGCAGAGGAGGGCGGGAGTGCCTCGCCCGGGGCGCCGGCGTCTTCCCACCCCCGGGACTTGACGGCTGTGAGACCACAGCCCTGCTACGGAAAAGAAAGCAGACGATTCCCTCTTCCCGAGGCGGGCGGGGGTGGGGGTGCATTCTAGACTCCTAGGGAAAATAAAAAAGGAACAGAAAAAATGTTCATGAGTCCTTGGGCGGGGGGAGAGGGTGAAGTTGGGGGGAGGTCGAGAAGTGTATTGATAGACTCGGGACAAAGGGAAAATCCTCAAGTATGCCGAAAAATAACATCCTTTCCCGTTCCCATAGCCCTGCGTGTGATTCATGCTTTTTGGGTGACTCAAAAACGCCTGGTTTTTCTTAGTAGGAACAAAACGCTTTAGGATGTTTTGCTGCTTTACCGGACCCCCGCAGAATCTGTTTTAGGACCGAACTTAGACTTGTCCGCCCAGAGGGGCCAAGTCACTGTGGCTTCCCCTTATCAGACCCGGGCTGCCCTCTTTCTTTGTCGTTGTCGCTGTCAGTGGTTCAAGAGGTGAGGAGTCGTGAAGTCTGCAGAGGAGGATGTTGCTCTTGAACTTAAACTGGAGGCCATAGGGCTGGGGCTCCCCCTCCCTGCCTCCACTGACCCAGCTCTCCAGTCTCTTTGCAAGGAATGAGGACACCTGTGGGTCCTGTGGAAAGTCGGTTGGCTTCTTGTTTTATCTGCCAAAGGAGGTCTTTAGGATAGTTCAGCAGCTCCCAAACTTGCCTCCGAGTCACAGTCTTTAAACGTACAGAGTCCTGCCCTCCCACCTTCCATCCCTGGAGTGATGTAGGAGGTGAGGGAATTTGTATTGGTAACAGCTCCCCAAGAAGTTGGACTGTTGCCCCCACCTGCGTTTGGGAGCCTTGCTACCTGAGCTGCCTGTGTTCCTGGGTTCTCTGGAACTCTGGCGGTCTTTGAGACTTCCAGATACCTTGGAAACCCACCTTGGATTTCCTGCGGCAAGCCTTGTCTGCATCCCCTTGGGATAAGTCTCTGTGCCTCCTTGCCCTCTCCACCAGTCTCCCTCCTTTGCAGAGCTTCTTTCCTGCTGCTGAATGAGGAGGCCAGGGGAGCCCCTTGTTCATTTCCTCCTGAGTTGGGGGGGCGGGCTAGTTTAAGCCCCTGCTCTTTCAGAAGAAAGGAGTTAATGCTTTGAAGTGCATCCGCCAGACTGTTTTTAATGCTACTTAAGTGCTCACAGGGTTTGACCTGTTTTACGTGGCTGAGGAGAGTGGAGAGTTGTGTGGCAGGGCAAGAGTTTTGTCCTGGGACTTAGTGCCTTCCTCCGAGTTCAGGTTCCCAATGGCCAGGAAGAGACTCCTTTCATCTTAAAAAAAAAAGCTTAACCCAATGGTGAAGGCTGCAAAGTCATAGGATTGTTAGGACAGAAGAGCCAGGTCAGCTTGGGAAGAGTAGAACTGCTTCCTGGTAAGGTGTTCTGGGCTGTGGGTAAGGTGTTATAAGGGAGATTACCTCTTCTTGACTGGATGCCTTTTTCTGAGAAGCAGTTAATGTGGTGATGAGGATCCTGGACCAAGAGTCAGGAGACCTTGCTTCCAGTCTTGGCTGTCACTTTCAGCTATGTGACCTTGACCAGTCCTTTTGTCTTTGTTCATTTCTTTTTATAAAAATTGGAAGTAGAGATCTCTGGCTTAGCTCCCTCACCAGGCTATTGTGAAAAGGAAGGACTTATATTAGGTTTTTTTTTTTTTTACAATTTAAAAAACAAACAAAACCCACCTATAGAATAGTAAACTTGGATTTAGGAAGTTCCTGACCTTGGCAAGCATTGTTTCTTTTTTTCTTTTCCTTTCTTTTTAGAGAGAGAGAGGATGAGAGAAAAACAGTTTGTTGTTCCACTTATTGATGCATTCATTGGTTGATTCTTGTGTCTGCCCTGACCAGAGATTGAACTCACAACCTTGGCCTATGGGGACAATGCTCTAACCAACTGAGCTACTCACCAGGGCAGCAAGGGTTATTCTGAGAGAGTTTACCGGTTATTTCAGGCAACTGCCAAAATTGGTAAATTGGATACTTATTTTCTGATCCTTAAGCTTAGATAAACTAGAATGGAATCTTCATATTTGGGTTGAATCTGTTAAGAATTTTTTAAAAACCTATTATTTTATTCAAAGAAGTGGGGTCACAAATTTAAAGTACTTTCCTTTCACTGTATTGGAAGTTGAATTGTGGGTTTTAAAACAGACCTGAGTTCCAGGGCATAATTGGAATGGTAGTTTCTGAAATAATAAGTGATGTTGTTTGTGCTGGGTGAGATTAGGTCAGCCTTCTACCTTCTGGGATCTTTCAGGAAGAAACTGCTCTTGAAAAGAGGAGGGAGGCTCAGGGCTGTTGCCAACAGCCTTAGCTGCTTGCTGCTCTCTGCATGCATTGTGCCCCCTCAACCCCCCTTATTACTCTCATCCTCATGGCTCCTTTAGAAAACCTCAGCCAGTTGATTCCCATCAGTCTCCTCCAAGTCCCTGCTTCCTGCTCCCTTCCTTGCCCTGAGTTTATTTTAGGCCATCAAGACTGGAAGATAGATCAGCAATAATTGAGGCTATCCCCTCTCTCAGAGGTGAGGGCACTGAGATCAGTGAGGCAGTGAGATGGGCTTTTGCCCTGGGATAGACATTTCTTTGAGACTTGAGCTTATTTCCACAGCTGTGGATTTTGTTTGCCTCCCCCCCCCCCCCCCGAAAAGTGCAAAAACCTCTTCCAGGCACAGCATCATAGAATCAGACCTGGAAGAGATTTAAGATCAGGTGAACTACTGTGTCCCAGTACAGGGACACAGTCAGGATTCTTCATCCACTGTTGTCCCCTACTCATTACAATGGCTATCCCATAAACACATGGTGAGGAGAATCATGTCAAGATGATTATGTTACAAAAGATGTCTTGGAGGTCAGGCCTTGGGTATCCCACCAGAGACCTTGAGATTACTGACTCGGAGCAGAGGAGTTCCTTACTCTTTCCTCCCCACTGGAATTCAGAGTGATCCAGGATGAGTAATGAGCAACAGTCTGTTATTACTTGTCCTGGCACCCTCCAGTCCCAGCCCTGTCCACAGGCTAGCATTCACCCTTCAGCTCCCCTAGGCACTTCTCTGCATACAGATGGATGCAAATACTCAGTTAAAGCCTTTTTTAACCGCACCTGTATGGACCTATTTGCAGCATTATTTTTTTCTGGTTGGTAACATGTCTCACAACTCTTTTTATGGTATTAAATAAAAATGTACTAAAGTCATTCTAGGTTTTGCTGTTATAAACATGCTTCAGCGAACAACTTTCCAAATGCTTTTGGGTGTATGGGAGCCTGCATGAATACAAATGTTTCTCTGAGGGCAAATGCTTAAAAAAAGAATGACTGGGTTGACATTAAGTACATTACATTTTTTTATAGATTTCACCAAACTGCCCTTCTAAAATGTCTGTGTCATACCATTGCCAGGTTTGGATATTATCAAATTATTTGTTTAGTAATTCCCTAATTACCAGTGAGGTTAAGCCTCTTTTTATAATATTTCTTGAATGCATTTTATTTCTTTTGTGCATTGCCAGTTCCTGTTGCTTGCCTGTTTTTTAAATTGGGTTAGTTCCTCCCCCCAACCCCCATGGTACCCCCAGTGATTTGTAGGAGCTTTCTGTATATACTCTAGGTCAGGGGTCCAGAAACTTCTGTATAAGGCTAGATAGTAAATATTTTAGCCTTTCAGGTCATATAGTCTTTGTGACAGCCGTGGAACTTTGCCATTATAGTGCAAAAGCTGCTGTGCAAAGTTGCTGTAGACAATACATAAATTAATGAAAAAATGGCTGTTTCCAGTAAAACTTTATTTACAAAGCCAGGCAGTTGGAATTGGCCTGGGAGCCATAGTTTGCTGACTCCTGCTGTAGCTGTTAAGGTGACACTTATCTTTTTTAATTTTTATGTATTGTTATTTCTCTTTATCATATGGTAGTTTTAAACATGAACACAGTTAAATTTTCATGTGTCCCTTTATAGTTAGTAGTTTTAATCTCATGCTTATGAAGTTCTTTCCAAGATTATAAAACAAATGCTTTATGCACATGCTCGTAACAGCACTATTCACAGTAGCGAAAACATAGCAATGGCCCAAATGTTTATTGATGGGTGAATGCATACACAAATTGTGGCATATCCATACATTGGAATGTTATTCGGTTTAAAGAGGCATGAAGTACTAAGACATGCTGCAACATGATTGAACCTCAAAAACATGATGTAAAGTGAATTGATTTAATTTATATGAGATATCCAGAATGTGTAAACCCAGAGAAACAAAGAGCATATTAGTGGCTGTCAAGGTTCTGGGGGAGGGTGGAACAAGGAATGTCTGCTAATGTGATCAGGGTTCTATTTCAGTGGTGATGAAATGTTCTAGAACTAGATAGAAGTGCTGGCTGCATAACATTGTGAATGTACTAAATGCTGCTGATTTGTTCACTTTAAAATGGCTACTTTTATGTTACATGAATTTTACCTAAATAAAAAAATGTACAAAAATCACAAGGGCACATGCGTACACACACACCCAAATCCCAAATCACCCATCTGCTTCTTGTACCATTTGGAGTGAATATCTGATGGTTGGTTTTCTGGAGTCTCTAGATCAGGGATTGACATTTTTTTTTTTAGGTGGCAGATAGTAGACACTATTTTAGGCCTGTGGTCCCCAACCTTTTTGGCACCAGGGACCACTTTCATGGAAGACAATTTTTCCACTGCGGGGGAGGCAGGGTTGGGGAGGTGGCAGAGTGGAAACAATAGTCACTTTCTCACTGCCACCAGCCCCCTGCCCCT